TTCTTGTCATTTATTCAAGTTCAAGTTCATTTTAATCATTTTTGGTTCCCCTTTTGACTTCCTTCTGATCATTTGCTAATTCTCTTTTTCACTTTTTTTGAAGATTTCAAGTCCATAAAATTTGTGCCCTTGTGCCCCCACTGTAAATGTGCCCTTGGCTTTCTGCCACAGGTGCAATGGATGTGTCCAGAATTTCAAACCTACCCACCACAAGATTTGGTCAAGGGGGGATAGTGAAGTTGAGCCAACTTGTACATTCAATTCTCCAGCTAGAGACATTACTCATCTTCTTGAAATCTAAGGCTCCAGTCCCCAATTCTAGCTAAAATCACTCTTTGTTAGTTTAAGATCCGGCGCCCTAGGCTGTGTTTTGATCTTTACATGAGAAATACGATGATCTATGAGTTGTCAATACTACCAAATTCATGTGAGTACAAGCTATTAGAAATATCTCTTCTATTGATTTTTCTTGTCATCACATTAACTTTGGAAGACAAAGTCTTAAACTGGTTCTTGTGAATTTATACTGAACACAAACCTGTCTCAGCTCACCATGCTGCAATCTATGTAATTATGATCCAAAGCCCATTATCTGATCTTGTGTACTCTCATGAAAGTCAGAAGAAAAATGAATTTATGTAATGCTTGCTTCACAAAGATCTGATCATTACCTATTATTAATTCATGAATGATCAATCTTCAGTTAGATAAATTTAACAAAATCTTTACCAAGCGAATTTTAGTTTTATTTATGCACAAGCTTATATAGATTGATAGATTTGAAAGAGATCTAAATTACAATTCCAATTCAAAAAAATAATATGGTTAATCAAGTGTAAATAAACTAAATAAGATAAGTAAAACAAGAGATCTTTGTATTGGTTCTACATTGAAATGAATCATTGTTATGTGAAAGAAGAGACTTTTTAAATTTAAGATTAGAGAGAGAAAAGATAGATAAAAGAAAGATTATTCAAGAAATTGAATTTTCAAAAAAAAACATCTCAATGAGATAAGAGAATCAAAATGGTAAGAATCATGACAAAGTTTATTAAATGAATTGATAAAGTTCATATAATGAAATCATATTATTTTGTGATTTTGATTGAGGAATTGATTGAGAATTTGAAGTATTTAAATTTTGAGTGTTTAAAGTTGATGGATTAGACATAGATGAATTGAAATTGGGTATGAAAAAACTTGTCTATATTTCCAAGAAAAAAAAGAAAAGGTCAGTTTTGAATGAAAAAAGAAGGAATGATTTAATGTTTTTTTGACTTACTGAAGGATCTAATGAACTTTTGGTTAGGTTTGATGAAAAATCAGTTGAATTAAAGGCTTTTATACGATAAAGTGTTACATTAAGAGTGATACAAACCTAAGACAGAGAAAGAAAAAAAGATCACATTCCAAAGTAAATGAATGAATGGGTTTACCGAATTTGATCATAAAATGAACGAAAGTGTTGGTTTTGGACTTAACTTGTTGACTTAGATTGAAGATCGTTTTGATATCATTTAATTCACATGTACTTTGAAAACATTGTTGTGAAGAATTCATGAAAGAAGAACTTTGACAAAGACATCTAAAATCAGTCTAGTAAATCCAAATCAATCCAACATCAGGTTTGTATGAGGAAAGTGGGTTATGTTGTTTTTTTGGTTAAATTGTTGAGGGTAAAGGAACTTACGATTGAACATCCACCCGAATTACCTATTGAAGAAACATAACAAGTTTGACCACATGAAGGTAATTCTGATAATGAAGTTTGTCTTTTTGATAAGGAAATTGATGATTGAATCGAAGGAAGTGATAAGGTTTGAATGATGAGGATTGAGAGATTAATGAATTGATGAGAGTTTGTTTTCATTTTGATTTTACAATTCTATCAATTCTTTCTTGCCACCAAAAGATGATGATGATGATGATGTTGAATTGATGATGATGATGATGATGATGAATTGATTGAGATTATAGAATTCGTTTAACTTGAAGAAAGTGATTTGATGGGTTTGACTTTAAACTTGAACCTCTCATACATGGTACACACTCATCTTGGAGTCTTCTACAATCTAAAGGCTTCTGTTTGTGGGCTGTGAAACCAAGATGATCATCAAAGCAATCGAAACTTTCAGAATTACCTTTCAAGATCTTTGCTGTGAATCCAATCCAAATCCACTTCTCATCCACAGCAAGCCGCATTTACACTATCAATCTCAATCTTCCAATGAGCTATATCCATCACAACCCTTCGGCAACTCTTCCCGAACAAGTCAAGCTGATAAATTGAGGCTATGTAAAGGTTTGGTCAAGCGTTGAAGACGGATGAAGAAGTCGAACGTGGAACATTGCACTTAAATTGATGACTGTTGAATCTCTTCGATCACTGATCATATGAGTACTCTCGATGCAAGACTGAGGTTAAGGTGAGTGATAGAGGATGATGTGATTCAACAATCCATCAAAGAAATAGAACATCAACGAGTTTGTCTGAGGAATTTACCTTGGAGGATGTGGAAAAGGTTGAGAGATGACCAAATCAATGGTCTGTAGTGAGTGATGACGTATTGATTACGTCAAGTTTCGAAGAGTCTGTACACCTAATATGAAGATTGAATTGGTCTGATTTCCATTTGCGAGAACAATCTGGAAGGTGCTGATTGGTAAAGAGCTTTTCAGAGTTTGAGGATTGAAAACCATTCATTCAACTTATCGACCTCTTTCCAATTTGACCATTCAATTTAACACCACTCCAAAAGCATTCTTTCTAGAAATCTTCATCAAAGTACTTTCAAAGTCATTTTAACCAAACATACCATTCAATCTCGATTTCGAAATTCAAGATGCCACTCAATTACTCAAAGTGGGATGCTCTTGAGGTAATTCAGTATTCAATCAACTTGAGATGATAGATATGATTATTGATGTTGTACTTATCAATCTAGCTTTCCGATGATTCGGACGTTGAAGTTCATCCAAAGTACGTTGAGATTCACTCACCTTACTTATAAATTGACATCCTTACTGATCATGATAATGTAATACGAATCTTTAGTGTTGATAAACGTAGTTTCATTCGAATGAAACAACGAAAGATTCATCAAGAAAGAGAAGAACGCAAAATGAGAATCGAATCATTAAAACATGAAGCAACACTCAATCACAAATTATTAAAAGAAATGAAAGATTTGATTCAACAAGCCGAATCAGATGGAATCCAATCGATTCGAAAAACTGCTAGTCAACTTTCTGCTACGGGTGGAAGTGTACCTCCTAGTGAAAATAAAGAACCTACGATCGAACAGATGGTGTTTAATTTATTAACTCAAATCTTATCAAAGGTTGAAAAGGATAAACCTGATGTTTCAGATGAAGATCAAGCTTGTATTAAAGAACTTAATTTTCATTATACTCGTCTTTCTGAAAGAGAAGAAAAGAGAAAGGTTGAATTGGTTCAGGAAGAAGCTGAAGCAAAGAAACATATCACTAGTGAGGATGTACACGATGGATTTGATGTTTCGGTGAGTAAATCACCATTCAGTACTTTGATTTTGATTATACCAGTCCTCATCAAATTTTAAAATAAGTTGACTGAGTTTCGACTTTTCTTATAGTTTGTAGACAAGACTCCTTCAAAAGCTATTGATGAGACCGTTGCTCCGATCTAGCTACCTCTAAATCCAAAAAAACTAACATTGAAGTGCTGAATCCCAATTCGGTTGACTCATCTCTCCTTACACCCACAAAAGAAGTACGTTTGTTCACCATCTAACCTCTCTTCTATCTAGCCTTCATTGATCATTTTACTGGTCTTTTTGCTATCGCACACAGGCCGATGCAGACTCATCCGACGATGAAGAGCTACCTCAACTTTCTTCATCAGCCATGAAGTTTGCAAAGATCAAGGCATCTGATTACCCTGCTTCACTTGCAGCAATTCAAGCTGATCCAACCCTCTATCTCGACGAACTTACTACTGATGCTTTACTCGTGGAAGCATTTGAGGCTGAGATGAGAGGTGCAAAGGAACATGCAAGGAATTGTGTACATCAAGGACTTTTACTTCAATATTGTCGTAAGTTAGGTAAAGATGGTGTTAGTCTGTTTTTCCGCAAGTAAGTTATGAGGTCTCATTTCAGCTATTCTGAAGAATACGCTGGGTTCAACTATCGCGTGTTTGACCTTGAACATAAACTGATGTTCCGATCCTTCATCCAGGGTCGGCTCCGGTGAACCTCGTGCGATGGAAGTCTTCATAACAGATGTACAAACCACCTACGAAAGAATAGCAGGTAGATGTAAAACAATCAAAGAAGAACGGCAATCCGATCCATCAGGCGGAAAAGAACAAATCCAATTAGTAGCTACTAACCCAACCACATCAATAAGTTTTGAAATTCCAGAAGGACCACCACCAGAAGACTTAAGATTACAAACTGAAGATGGAACCGAAGCAGATTTAGATGTAGAAGAAGTGAGACGGTTCTTAAATGATCGATGGCAAACGTTTTGTTCATTTCCGAAGAAATTACAAAAAGCACTCAAAACCAAAGAATTAGAAAAAGTGAATAAAGTATTAGGGTGAGATGAACGTACCTGAAGCGGAAAAAGTCGTTCAAGATTTAGATAGGGTTGGGATTTTAAGTTTTAGTGAGTCAGGAATAATTGATCAAACTAAAGAACCTATGAAAGATGAAGTGAATCAGACTAAGGATGGTGAAGGAAAAGTAGAAGGATCTAATGAAACCAAAGATTTGTCTAAGATTGAGATTCCGGAGGAGTTGTGATAATCGGTTGAATTTTCTCTCTCTTGTTTTTTCGAAAAAAAAAACAAAATGGGGTTTGATTTCTTTGTTTGTTATGAGATATCTTTATCACTTGTTTTCTTGCTTTTGTTTTAGATTACCACATGTCATTTGTCCTTCAGAAGACTTTCAATGCAGAGGAGCTGGATCTCAGGTTCAAGGGTTAGATGTAGCTCCGGAATCACGTGCAAGAAGAGCGAGATGGCGCAGCTGGTAGCGCGCTGGGCTCATATTTCCCGCGTTCACGCATGGAATTGCAACCCAGAGGTCGTCGGATCGAAACTGACTCTCGCTATCATTTTTGCTTCCTCCGTTTGTCGGTCAGGCAAGAGATTTATTGAAGTGAAGAGAACCAAAAATAGTACGATAAATAAAAATCAAGTTGAAAAATGAATGGTTAGAAAACACATCCTGAATGAATGTCTCTTCAGATCCTATTCAGTTTAGCAGATTCCTCATCCATCATCATCTCTTACTTGTTGTGCTGCTATAGTCATCATTCCTTTCTGTTTGATTTAACTCTTTGATATTTGAAAATAATATCAGGAATGGACTGTATGTCGCAAAAGATACCTTAAGGTGTATATGTAATGTTCTACAAGACAGAAACTCAAGAGAAAGATACGGATAGCAAATGGTTGTATGTGGTGGGTAGAGAGCCTTAAATGACATTTGCAGGTTGATGGCATGTTTTGTCTTTCCTTCATAGATGAATTGATTTCAATTCCTCTCAAGAGGTTTTGTTATAATATCAGTTAAGATGATGGAACTACTTTCCATGTCTATTTTTATATTGTCAACTTGATTCAATTTGACGTTAGTTCATCACTTGAAGATTAATTCAACCCTGAAGTGTAAGTCGACTTAAGTCTTCAACTCGATTTTTATAAGATCTTTACAAATTAAATTAGAAAAACAAGTAGTGAGAAGATCATGATGAGTGAATCTTTTAGCAACGCTTGTGGAGGTTTCTCGCTAGGCTTAGATACCGAAACCAGAACGATCGCTCTACATCACACACGGAGGAAATTGTTATCCATAAGCATCTTTGTGGTATACATTCAGCTAAGTCGTGAGAAACTCACCATTGATTCTCTGGTTTTGAGATGGATAAAGAGGGGAATCAATATTGTTTTTGAGGCTGATCTCTCTAGTATGGATTTGAGTGACTTACGATCGATGTGTTCGTTATACTTGCTTCTTTTTTACTTTATTAGAATCTTTCAGTCTTTTCTCTTCAGCCATTCTTGCTTGTTTCAATCGCCATTCACGTTCATGCTATGTGATCAAAAGGAGACCGAAATTGCGCACCATACACTCATCAGTATATGCCTTTCAGTAAAAGATTTTTTCATTCAGAGACTCAACTTGTTCTAATCTCTGGCCCGGTAGGTACTTCCTGAGTCCAATGCCATTTAGCGACCGGAATTGGAGGGGGTTCGGCTTCGTGAACATGTATACATCCAAAACATCCCTTCAAAAGGGCTCGTTTCCGAATGCGCCTACACAAACAACTTGTGATTCAAAGGCTCTGAAAGGGATTCGTGTTCTGAATCCTTAGTCTCCGATCACTACTTTTCCGACCAGTTCACTTTCTTCTGGTGTCTTGATGAGTGAAGCTGTTGAAATCAAAATATGACTTATAGTAATCAGGAGGCTGACAAGCAGGCAGGAAGAGTATACTCGATCAGGTTGCGTAATTTTCTCAAGTATTAGTGTGTGTCCTCGGACCTACATAGTCTTAATCAAATGAGACTTCATCTTATGAATGTCACTATGTGCTGATGATTGATCTTGTACTGAGAGAGATTCCTTCAAGTGGTGAGGTATTTAATCGGTATTCTATTTGGATGAATTATAATCAAGCCAGTCACTTTTGAATTTATATGTCAATGAAAGATTCAAAGTCCTATTGTTTTATGCATTTCTTAAGGCGCCTCCTGAGCCGATGGCTATCAGATACTGTAACTACTTGTGCTCGGCTCTAGTAAGAATCCATATGGGGAAAGGACGCGTGCTGGATGTTGGTGCGGTACGCACATACGCATTCAAGATCATGAAGGCTAGCAATTTGCTACCAAGATGAGACGCAGAACCTATCAATCACCTGCGTCGCGATGTTAGATCTGTGTGATGTGGCGCCATATCTAAGGGCTAGTAAATTGATTGATTGAAGCGTCTCAAGTCAAGCCTTCGTTCCTAGAGGAGATTGATCACCGTTGGATCTAGCCCGCGAGGAGCTTCTAGAAAAGTTCTGATGAATGGGACCTTGCTGTTTAACACTGGTGCCGTTCTGAACGGGTTTCACTCGTGCCTCGGCACAAGCCGTGTTTCGCTTGTAGAATGTAACATGTTTTGTGCTCATCTGAGAGCTCACAACCTGTTTAGAAATCATGTCAGTGTCGCTATACCGTAAGAAAGAGCATTGTTTTATTAAAGCAGTGATGAAATGCAGACCGAGAATCACATCAGTAGCCATACGGATAGCGAGGCACTCGAGCAGGCGGACGAGGACCTTGGGACGAAGTATGACCAAATGCCGTTCCGTTTGTTGCGTTACAAGGCTTCATCCATGTATGTTTGAATGCCTCAAGCACTAGCGTTTATAGTCATTCTGATGTGACGAGGCCTAAACCTCTCAGGGATGAGCTGAGATGAGAAGCTCAAAACTCCGCAAATCTAGATCTCAGGAGATTGCCCGTAAGGTATGTATGTAGGCCGTATGTATTAGCAATGAAGATTGGCGGATATCATGAGCCCATTTGTTCTTACAAGACAAGATGATGAAACAACGTCGAGATTCACGATAGACTGGGATAATGATCCACCACATCATGTGTTGGAACTACATTTCAATCACTACAGCTTCGCAGAGATGAATTTTTTATCCATGCACACGTGTGCTGTCCTTGTGGGAAACTGTTCATGTCTGTCGAACTGTTTTAAGGCCAATCCTTGCAAAGCCAAACTTAACTAAGCCCCTCAGCGAGCGCCTTCGCCGCGCCTTGTGAAAGAGAGGACTGAAGTTATTTACGCCAGATCTTGGATGTACTTTAGTGTTGCCCGATGCCGGAATGCACAAGGAATGTAGGTTATAGTGTTGCCCTATGACTTCACTCTTTCGAGAGTCATGCCGATATGTGATAGGTACGCGTGTTCTAGGAGCTTGATTTTCAAATGTACATGCTGGTATGCAATGGGATAGCTCTTTTCAACAAAATCATAGATTTACTCAGAGATGCCGTTTATTTGAGATTGACGAACTATTGGGTCCAGGTTCCCAAATACCATACTGAGCTTATCTGCAACCATAGGACGAATACGGTCTCAAGAATAATGGGGAACCACTGACCTCAAGCATTGCCGTGACTCGTGGCTATACAAAAAAAAGAAGGAAAAAAACATGAATTGACATGAAATTGTCAAGGCTCAACAGTGTTCATTAAGCTATACTTCGGCCTGAGTTTCATGCTGATCTATCAGGGGGGCATGCCGGTCTGGCCTACGTAGGTAAGAGAACCCACACTGGAGCAATGCACTTCCATGGATGATGGATACGCTGCACCTTCAAGTTTTGGGAGCTCTCTGCATCCCAAGAATTGGGTACTACTATAGGTCGCGATAAGTTGCGTGGTCCGGGACTTGCAGGATCTGCAAGAAACCTTCAGAGCTCTCCTCACACTTCAAGAGCTATTGAGTATCTCAGACTCCACAACTGGCCCAAGGTACGCTTCCAAGATCTAAAACACAATCTTTAGGCCACAAGGGAACAACTCTATGTGGCATCTTGGCAAGTAAAAAATGAAAAGTGGAGCTTGAAGCAAACTGCAAACAAGTCCCTCTTGAGCTGTACCAGCCTGCTCAAATGAGGGACTTATGAGTAAAGTGGAAATTGTGGTACGAGATCTGTCGGAGATTTTTGCCAAAAAACCAGCTACCTTATAAAGTATATTTTTATGATTTCAACCTCCCTTGACCCAAAGGTGGCAAATGTCCAGCATGATCTCCCCTACAACATCCCACTCTCAGTTTCCCTTTAGCTTGAGTGGCTGTGGAGCTACATATAAAAGCCACCACAGCTCAACACCAGAAATTACAGTAATTTGGCATGCTCCGTGTCTAAAATTTCAGTTTTAGGTGTACATCCAAAGCATCAACATTTCTCTGTATCTCTGGAACAGATTAAGTCCATGAGGAACAAAGAGTGCAAGGGTTCAGAGGAGATCAAGATGCACATTTATCACTTTTGGTCAAGGAAGGTTGAAATCATGAAAAAATATCTTATAAGGCAGCTGGTTTTTTTTGCAAAAAGCCCCAACAGATCTCACACCAAAATTTCCACTTTACTTGTAAGTCCCATGTTTGAACAGGCACAGCTCAGTAGGGACTTAGTTGAGTTTGACCTTGAAGGGAGATTTGAATCCAACATTTCAAAAGCTTCCCAGATTTACTTCATTAGAATTTGGGACAGGAAAAGGTCCATGAAATTCCTTGCCTGTATGCTCCTGCAAAATGATGATGGTGAGTAACTATGTATCAAGAAGATGATGAGGGAAAACAATGAGCATACTCTCCACACATTATCTCCGCCAGCCTTGCTCATAGCACATCTCCTCAAAACCCAATACTACATCAAAGGTACACGGGACATGTTTTTGATAGCTTGACTTTTTTCAAGCCTGGGGGTTCAGATCAATTAGACCTCGAGATATGTTCTTGGTTAAAGCCTTCTCACCCACACTTGAAACTTGGACTACAGCTTGGAGGTTCAGTATCTGTTGCACAGGCTGAAAATAGGTACAGCAGTCTTTTAATTTTGTTGTTTCATAGTGAATTTAAAACTTGCTGATAAGGTCTGACTTTCATGTTAGATTATATGTCTCAAGAATTACACATGAGAATATTTCTCCTCAAGGAACAAGGAATCCTGTAAGAGGATATTATGAAATTCTGATGATACCTACTTCCAGCTCTGTAAGGCTTTGTTGGATAGTTTTGTGTGTGATTGTGCACCCTATGATACATTTCAATATGCCAAAATCACTCAGATGGTGCTGATATAAACTTTCAACTGCCCTTCAAATTTATGCAGCTCCTTAAATAGCAAAACCCCAACAAGAGGGGATATAAAGATCCAAGTTGAAGTGGCTCTACAATTTTGATCAGTCAAAGTAGAATTAGGAGAAGCACAAGCCCTTGAGGAAAATATGGCCAACCAGAAGTGAGGCTTTTGTTGCAAGCTAAAATCATTCCTAAGAAAGTCTACATGAATGACAACATTATAATTCAAATCTA